TAGGGGCCAGGTGCAGGGGTTAGGGTCAAGGGATAAGGGTTAAGGGTTGTCTTTGACAAAGACAGCTGGTTGCAGGAAGTTTTGAGATTCAGGCTATGGTGCAAAGCACAAACGGTTTAATCTAAAGACCTCGAGCAGTTCAGGGCCAAAACAGATTGTTCATGGCTCTGCCAGGTGCGTAAGAAGTTCTCCAAATCTCCGCATTTTTTTTGTTATTTTGATGGCCGCCACTTGAAGACTTGAAAAGGTGTCTGTCTGGACGTTCAAGTTTAAACCCAGGACACATACCAACAACTTCCAAAGCCCAAGCCCGAACTGGAGATTGCCTCCCAGACGAAGAATCCCTAAACCCGATAGTAAGGCATCATGCCCGTGATTATACTCCCTTACTCGATAGCCATGATAGGATTTCCCCCCCCCCCCCCCCCAAGACAAAAACCCTCAACGATCTACCCAAAGGCCTCAACATCTAACATCTCTGCCCAAGAGTCTGGGCCATGGGGCCATCCGGAGAAGAGATGACCAGGATGCCACCGTCCATCTGGCAAGCTCCTGTTCTGCGATTCTGAGATGCCGGGCTTGCCCAGGTTACCCTAAGCCACCAAGCCCGAAGCCCAACACTCCCCAAACCCTCATAGACCCTAAACCCCGCAGGCCTAAACCCTCAACCATCAAAAAATTATAGCCCCAAACCCACAACTGTTATATACATAAGGCCCTAAATCCCAACATGCCTCTAAGCCAGGGTTCTTTGGTAATTATACAGGTGCCAAGAGTGCTGAACCGAAATTTTGGGTTTTCTGGGGGCGCGGGGTTGGGGTTTGGGGTTTTGGGGCTTATGGCTGCGATACTTCGATTCAGGGATTGTGGGTACTCCGAAAGCTCTCTCGTTGAGTCTCCTGCATGATTGTCTATAGGGCTTGAAGTATAAGGCTGTTACCAAATAGTCCACCTACCTAATAATCATAGACTCTCCCGAATACAAAACTACTACCCCAAACCCCAAGACCTAATTGTTGGGTCCCTTGAGCCCTTGGATTAAGATTTTGACCTTACGATGCAATGACGATGTATGGCATAGGTTTCAGGTATTCCTTACAGTCTAGACGGTGGGGTGAAGGGTTTCAGGGGCTGAGGTTTAGGGTCTGGGTGGAACTAGGGATGGCACTTGCGGCCCTGCAGCGAGGTGTGGTTTAGTGTATAGGGTTTAGGGTGAGGTGTCCTGTGATCATGTTCTTGACATAATCTGCGTGGCCCGGGCAGTCCACATGGCAGTAGTGCCTGACAATGTCATAACGCTGGTGACTGAATAATTGCCAATCCTGCTCCGTTCCCCGTATATGAACAACTTCCACACCCTTTTAGTTTCAATGCCGCAGCAGCAGTCGTAGTAGTAGTAGCAGTAGTAGTAGTAATTATTATTATTATTGTTATTATTATTATTATTACTACTAGGAGTAGGAGTAGTAGTAGTAGTAGTAGTAGTAGTAGTAGTAGCAGTAGTAGTAGTAGTAGTAGTAGTAGTAGTAGTTGTAGTTGTAGTTGTAGTAGTTGTAGCAGTAGTAGTTAGTAGTAAGAGTAGGAGTAGGAGTAGTAGTAGTTGTAGCAGTAGTAGTTAGTAGTAAGAGTAGGAGTAGGAGTAGTAGTAGTAGTAGTAGTAGTAGTAGTTGTTGTTGTTGTTGCAGTAGTAGTTAGTAGTAAGGGTAGGAGTAGGAGGAGTAGTAGTAGTAGTAGTAGTAGTAGTAGTAGTAGAAGTGGTAGCAGTAGCAGTAGTAGCAGTAGTAGCAGTAGTAGCAGTAGTAGTAGTAGTAGTAGTAGTAGTAGTAATAGTAATAGTAAGAGTAAGAGTAGTAAGAGTAGTAAGAGTAGTAGTAGTAGTAGTAGTAGTAGTAGTAGTAGTAATGGGAGTAGGAGGAGCAGGAGTAGGAGTAGGAGTAGGAGTAGGAGTAGGAGTAGGAGTAGTAGTAGTAGTAGTAGTAGTAGTAGTAGTAGTAGTAGTAGTGGTAATACTAGTAGAAGTAGTAGTAATAGTAGTAGTAGAAATGGAAGGAGGAGGAATAGAAGCAGCAGTAGAAGCAGAAGCAGGAGCAGCACTAGTAGTGCAAGTGAGAAAGCTGTCCCGTTGTTCTGTTTGGAAGTAGTCATGGCAGTAGCGGTGGTCCGCAGCACGCGGGTGCTTTGCGAAGTTTAAGACACCAGTCTTTGCTTCACTCTCCAACATCTCTTTGACACGTGGGTAGCTCGTCTAAATTAGGGTCCCTTTTAGGGGTCCTTTTATAAGGGTGCCGTACTATATTGGGGACCTGAAACGGGACCCCAATTTAGAGAACTACCCATATACCCATATACCCCAAAACCCTAAACCCTAATTTAGCTAGAGAACTACCCATGTGTTGCTTGGGCCATGTCGCCAGAAATCCCCATGACTTCGGTAAGGCCTATCACCCACCATCCCGGCTCCTACACTCGAGGCCAAAGTCCCATACGGGTTTAGGGCTTAGTTTACTTTACGGTGTTTAGGGTTTGATTAAAGTTTACAGATGGTGCCGGTATCCTCACATTTCAGGAGCTTTGCTGCCGAGGCAGTACATATTCAGGGGTGTCTGTGTGTGTGTGAAGCAGTAAGCTCCATGACCTGGGTCGGAATAAGCGGAAACTACGAGTGTGGCAAGGGCAGAGAAGGGTTTTGGACATAAGGCAGATCCCCACCACTTCGCAGGTGTAAGGCTGGTAGCATTCCAGTCGTTTTTGCAGTTATATGTAAGCAATACGCCTTTTTTCGGATTCCTTGTTAATACTATACTAGAATTACGATACTGTACTATATTGTACTTCGGACTATATACCCCAAAACCTGCTTCTAATTATTCAGGCCCCACAGTTTTACGTAAACACTGCGCTCAGGACACGCAAACCCGAAGCTACAGGCTGCAAATGCCAGAGACTCGAAACCTGTGCTTTAGGGTTTAGGGTTAAGGTGTGTTTGTTTAGGGTTTAGGGTTTAGGTGCGTTTTTGCCCCTTCAAGACCTCTGGATTCCAACGAAAAATCCCTCTTTCAACTTTCTTGCCTGCTCTCCGTCTCATACTCGATGTGCGAGGCATTGATGGTGATGCCACGGGCACGCTCTTCCGGAGCATTGTCGATCTCCTGCCAGAGTTGACGATGCGAAAAGTCTTCGAAGTAGTCTATGACCCTTAACACTTAGAACAGGCATTTGAGGGGCATATTGTGCTATAATGACAAGAAAGAGCCTTAATCTTAAAACAGAACAGTACCTAGTATTACCCATTATTCTAGCTTCTAGTCGGTATTCAGCGCCCTCTAGGGACTTTGACACTTTCGCAACAAGAGCTTTTGGGCCTTCCATGGCTTGCGGCCTAGGGTTTGGGGCTCTATGGTTTGAGGGTTGCGGATTGCAGACTAGAGCTTATAATGTAGGGGCCTGAATAAGTGGAATAGGGTTTTGGGGCCGGATATACTATAATTCGAGTCAGGGACCCCCAAAATAGTATGGGGAATCAGCGAGTTCCCGATTTTATATTTTCCTAAACTCAATGTGTGCAGGTGTCAGGACTTTCGAATTGTCTGGCAATCCGGGGCTAGTTGATTAGGGTGGCTGAAGAAGGTCAGCAGCGTTCGTCAACGAGCACAAGCCTTGCAACCAAGACTAGGGTAACGTCGGTAAACGCCAGAAAGTTGGATCATTGGTATCGTAAGCCTAGACCAGATGAACTAAGAGGGTGTAAGTAATTCTATATAGATCTATAACATATATATATATATGTAAACATATATACACACATACACATATGATCATATATACGGTGAATATATGTGTATACATACGTATATGTACAAAAGCCTCCTTTCTGCTAGATTTCCAGAAAAACAGGGACGAACAGGACGTACTGAGGCGGTCTGGTACAAGCAGCTAGACTCCGACACGGATAGACCGTTTAGGGTTTTATGGTTCAGGGAGTAGGGGGTCTTGAATGTTGCCTTCAACAGAAATTCGTGCGGGACGCACAGGTCTAGGAAGAAGGGCGGCTGTAGCCTTAAATTAGCCTTGGGAACCCGGACAGTTCCACTTGGTTATCCAAAGTTTTACTTGGGCCCCAACAGTACCATTTATGATCTAAACCCTAAACCCTAAACCCTAACCCCTAAACCCCAACAGTACCATTTATGATAGAGGCTCCCTGTGCCCGCTGAACGAACCAAACCTCGTAGGACTTCTTGCTCGTGTCGTCGGACGTGCTGAACCTCACATACTTCCCCTAACCCTCCAGGAACCGATTATATAGGAGCCCCAAGGGCCCCATATAGTAGGTACCTGGAGGGTTAGGGTTCAGTCTAAAGCAGCCTCACCTCTGCTTCGATTCGGGTTTCGGGCTTAGGGTGTAGGGTGTAGGGTTTAGGGTGTAGGGTTTAGGGTTTAGGGTTTAGGAACAAGTTGTGGCACTGATAGACATGTAGGAGGTACACAGGTCCTGAATGATTTTCAAGTGACTACGACTAGGACGACGATGATGCAGAGGACGGGACGAAGGCGACGAGCTGCAACTGCATACTATTACCTATCAGAAATGCCACTTCCACCTCTTAATCAGTTGATCGCTGCCAGTCAAAATTTGTTCAGGGTGGTGGCGTCTATTCCTCTCCTGAGTTTGTTGGGGAGTAGGCGGGGCGGGGTTTATGGCCGACTATTGCCGACCAATCTCGTGCTAGGAATCTGCATTTTCCAGGGAACTCGTGCAGCACGTTTGAAAGCAAATGTCATGTAAAATCCGTGCCGAAATCATCATGTCGCTGTTAAGGGTAACACTGGATAGCCGGGGTTGACGACATCATGCTGCACGTTGGGCCGGAAGATGGGACAAGAACACTTCCACATACTGTCCTTCAACCTTATCGCAACAACTTCGCGAAACAACTACACAAAAGCCAGGCTTAGTGCTGCTGCAGGTTTCTCCTGGTCCTCTCCGAAAAGCACCGAAAATCCGAAATGCCCTATATAAACCTTAAATCCCTACCACACCCAAGGCTCCGACTGGCCGCAGACGAGGGAGATCGCAGCAGAGAGCGTGGTCTTGCCATGGTCGACGTGGCCGATGGTGCCGATGTTGATGTGGTCCTAGCTTGGTTTTGGATTTAGGGTAGGGGAATTGGGGGTTTAGGGTGTCCTAGCTCGGCTTTGGATTTAGGGTTAGGGTTTAGGGCTTAAGATTTGGGGTTTAGGGTGTCCTAGCTCTTGTTTTGGGGTTAAGATGTATCGGAGGTAACGCTTTAACACAGGATACGGGTTTGTAGTCCTGCTTCCAGGGTGTCTCAAGTTCATATAAGGGATTTGGTGGTTTGCATATAGCTTTATAAATTTATTGTAAACAAGTTTTTCGGTCAGGATGCCGGCATAGACAAACCGAGGGTGACCCAAAAAACTCGGCAAAGGAGAAGATAGGTAATGTAGGGGCCTTAATAATTAGAGTAGGGTTTTGGTTCAAATTCTACTGCAATCATAAATAAGGACCCCCCCCAAAAAAAACATAGTATCGGTAATTTTTAAGGCCTCCTATAGTATGGTTTCGAGATTAGGTGGCTCAGGGGTTGAGGTTGAGAAACTGCTCCTATACTTGTGCCTGAAGTCGGCCGACCGGGCCTAGGGAGTTGTCGGGCTTTATAGCTTCATGTAGGGGCTCTAATAATTCGAATAGGGTTTGGGGTATATTAAACGATAATTAGTTATTTAGGCCCCTACATTAAGGGCTCCGGCTGTTCCTTCGTCGAAATCGTTTTCGCCATTCTTAGGGCTTAGAGGTTTCCGGGGCTTAGGGCTTCGGATAGCACTCGGGATCTGCGGCTCGGTGTTTGGAGTTGGGGCTTCAGGTGGAGCCGTAGGAAGGACGTGCATGTTATTTTCAGATGGGCTCGTGTGTACGCATCCAATAGCCGATAAGTGACCTGCTCCGCACCACAATGCCTCCGTGCTGGCAAAACCCTAAACCGGAAACCTTCAAAGCTGTCCATCGACTCTTCCAAGGCAGATGCAATAGTGTGTCAGCACGCACGCAGAAGTAGAAAATTGCAATTGAACGCTGCGCGAGCGTGCTCTGTGCTTGGCGGGCGTATTGCCTGACCCTGCACTCAAGTGAAACTGAAACAAGCTGACTCTGCCCTAGAAAAATGGAAGACCATCAGTTGCATGACGTACATCGAAAAGTGCGAAGCTACAAGCTTGTTATGAGGCGAAAGCTGTATAGCATCGTTCCGAGGTGAAAAGTTGTATACAACCCCCGACACCCTCAGTGTGAGCCAACGCGTCCGTTGCTCACGAACCTAAGATTGCTGGGTCGTACTCGGAGCAGCGGGCTACTCCAAGCCGGCTCCCTGACTGCCAGTCTAGTGGCGTCCCACACTTGGTCACTCACAATCGAAGGCGATGGGCCGTAGAGACGGAAGGGCATTGCTGCAGCACAACCAAAGTAGCGCTTCCTAGAGTGCAGAGAGAACAAGCTGCCATGGATAAGTACTTACTGTAGCTGCAGCCAACTCCTAGTGCCACCTAATGCCTTTACACCACCACTCTGCACGTAGAAGTGAAGCCGGGACAGCATTTGTACCTGGCAAGTCGTAAAGAAGCGCAGAAGCGCAAGCACACGGCCGTTCTGAAATCCGCAGCTCCTTTTGCTCACACTGTGATTTTTTGCAGCGGTGAAGAATGTGCGCCGTCCGTCTCGCATTGAGTATGCGAGATAGAAAGAAAAAGGGTGGGCGGGTCAGTGCGTCACCAATTGTGAAGCACGGCGGTCTTGCGGCAGCAGGCTGTGCCTCGTAATATCGAGGCTGTGCCCCCGGTGCCTCTCACATTGGCAGTGTCATTGGCATGCCTGATCCTGCCACAAACTGTCCTTCACTCCCATGACTGTTCGCTTGATCGTGCCCGAGCCAGTGCATTGACAAAGGCTTGATACTCGCGGAAGCATAGTTCCATGGCCGCGGCGGCGAAGATGTCTTCCTAGCATAGTGGTTCAGGGCAAGGAAACCATACGGGCATGGCCAACCAAGACCCAGCCTGGGTGGTGTTCGTCTGGGCAGATGCCGTTTGCACGCTTGCCCATCCATTTTGGTTACCTTTGCCGCCTTGCATGCCCTTTCCCCCCGCGTCGCCTTTTCGTGCCCAGCCTTGTTGCTTGCCCTTGCCCGCCCCGCCACCGCCGGCATTGACAAGCAGCAGGAAGAGAGACAGCAAAAGAACGCGGAGCATGGACATGATGGTCCTTCGGACTTGCACTTTTC